AGGAGTAGCAGTAGAAGTAGCAGTAGCAGTAGCAGTAGCAGTAGCAGTAGCAGTAGCAGTAGCAGTAGCAGTAGCAGTAGCAGTAGCAGCGTCAACAGCAGCAGCAGCAGCAGCAAGAGTCGCATGAATAGGTAGTAATGCTAGCAATCATTGATTAGTAGGTCGTAAGTGGTAGGTGGTCAGTAGTATTACGTAATAAGCCATCCGTAAGGCGTCAGTCGTGAGTCATACGTGATACGCTGTAAGTAGCGAGTGGTAAATAGTGAGTCGCAAGTCTCAGGTTGTAGGTTGTCGGTCGTAGGGTCGTGGGTCGCAAATAGTAAGTAGTCAGGAGTCGTCGTCGGAGTCGTAACATGTCGTAACAGTAGCCGCAGTTATAGTAGGCTTCGCCTTGTGAAGCGCAGAGCGGAGAATAGCAAATAAAGACACAAGGGATACTGTAGCAGGAACGGCTGTGAACCTGTAAGACGTGCAGTGGCAGTCGCCGCCGCAGCTGTAGTCGTCGCAACAGCCGCGATCATAGCATTGAAACTGTTCAGCTGTCTCAAAGGCCTCCGAAGCAGAGCTGCCTTTCCTGAAGGGTACCGAGGCGGCATCGGGCTGATGCAGAGCAAGGGTTAATGGATCTTGGGCATTTGTTTAGGCGTTTCGTAATTAAGGACCGGGGGACTGAATAAGCCGAAAAAGCTTTGGCGGATCATTTTGTGACCTAGACGCGAATCAGGCCGAAGCTGAGTAACTGCATCCGACAAAGTGATTCACCAGGACATCGACATGACAAATCTCCTCACAACTTTGCTGGTCACATCACTGTGGCGTGTTCGCTAACTTGGCGCCGGAAGCACTCCCACGACAGCCGAACCAGCAAGAGGCTGCAGTCAGTGCATGTATGGGCAAGCGCTGTGACGCCCTGGGAATTGGCTGCTGGCTACTCGAGAGTCCATGCCAGCGCAACAAAAGAAGCGAAGCCGAGCTCAAGCACTGACCAAGACATAGCACCAGGCGTGGTGCTCGGGGTCGACAGGCTCATCGCAGTTCGGCATGGGCACACAGAGATGGACTTTCGCCACATTCGCCACTCGTCCTTTCGTGTCCCTGCGTCATTGCCAAAGCGACTCCGACTCCGAACCTTTTTCGGCGTCCCGCGCCGTGTCGCTGCGTTTCTTGCAGCACAGCGGGTGCGATTACTGGGCGGTTGGGTGCATCAGCCTGAAGTTATGATGAAAGTCCAACCCTAAGCCACACCTGGAACCCAGGCCACGCCACCAGGCCTTTCGGCACCACGGCTCCAAGCCCTGCTTTGAGAGGCGCTGTCGTCGGCCGAAACCCAGAAGGCCGTGGCAGACTGCGAGGCTGGTGGCCTCAGATCATAATTTGGGGGTCTACTGTTTCAGGGTTGACGGTTATCGGGTTGTCGGGTTGCGGGTTGCGGGTTTATGGCAGGGTTAGGTTTCAAGGTTTAGGGTTGAAGGGTTTGTTTGGGTTGTTGCTCCAGGGTTTAGGGTGTTTCAGTTTGTCTGGTTCTCTTGCAGGTCTTTCTTATTGGTTTCCTTTTTTTGAAATTGTAGCCTCCGAACCTCTCAGACCCGTGTCCACCAAAAAACTTGAACCCGTAAAGTGAAATCCGACCGCCCGAGGCCGCGGCGGCAGTGGCACAGAAGGCGATAACCGATGCCAGGGGCTCGACCTTTCCCTTTTTCGCCTGCTTTTTTGTTCTTCTTTCTGCGAGGGTGTTCGAGCTCGCCTGACCTTGACAACGACAACTGCAAACTTCGAATCGGTTGGAAACATTCTAAAGCTCAGAGCCCGACGAACACTGCGTCCGGCAATGGTCAACTAACGACTCAGCTGCCGCCCGCCCCCCCCCCCCCCACCCCGATTAAGGTTGGGGAACCCAGACGTACACCCTGCACACTCGATCCTGTACCCCACGCCCTAAAACCTCGAGCCTTCCACCCTAAACCGAAAAACGACACCCATCCCACCTGAAAAACTCACAAGACAGTCTAAACCTTAAGGAGAAAGCCCTACAAGATAAACTCAAGCTCCAGAAGCCCACAAGAACACACGAAGCCAACTGCACCGAGGCCCGAGCTGTGACGCTGCAGAATCTTGCGGCCGCAAAGGAGTTCGCAAACGGCGCCGACGAGTTCTGCACAAAGGCCTCGGAATGCTTTTGGGAAACTTATTCCTGAGCTGTGTTGGCCTCAACACATCTGAGGCCACCCGAGCCCTGCAACTCTGCAAACACTTGAGCCCATATCCGCCTTAATCCTTCATCCACCAGCCCGCAAACTATATCCCTCAACCCGGAAGCCATGCACCCCGAACACCAAACCCCAAAGGCCCAAACCCTAAACCCAAACCCTGAGCCCTCGACAAACCTCAAACCCACAAGCCACCGCAACCCTAGCACCTCCACAAAGCCCTCCACCTTTCAGGACCTGCTCCTACTCCAGAAGCGCTTGGACGGCATGGCCGGGAAGCTCTCCGAGCTGAAGAAGGCACCCTCCGAAAAACTTTCTGTTCAGTCCTTCTTTGGGCCGGGCCCTCTGCTTTCTGGGCTCGAGATGTCAACGGGAAGGAGGTTTGGGGGATGTTGTTCCAGAGCATGCTGAGCGATCGTTCTGCTTCGAAAGCCAGGCCACAGAGCCGTCCCCTCGAGCTCAAAGCCCAAAGCCCCAACACTTGATTCGTGAAGTAACTATCGCCAAAGCACAGCCCCCCTCGGCCGTAGCCTGCAAACTCGTGAATATGGCAGCTGTTCAGTATCGCGCCTCGAACTGTAAACCTTCACGTCCTGCCCAGAATAGTAGCTCCGCAGGGCGTGGACTCGAAACTTGGAGTCCCGGCGTCTTATCACTCTAATCCGTGCATCCTACTACCGAAAGCCCGAAGCCCAGCATTTTAATCTTCAAGGCCCTGAAACTTCGACCTGAAAGCTTTAATTTCCTTAAGCCCCAGGGCCTCAAGGTGCTCTCAAGTCTCAACATGGTCACTCCCTCGCCCCGCTGCGAACTCGTGGGAAGGAGACTGCCGACAGAAAACGCAAGGCAGGTGCCATCGGTCCTCTGATGTTCTAGCATGGTTTTGTTCAGTTTTTTTTTGCTGGCTGTGCGGTTCAAGATATCACCTAAGCCGAAGCCCCAAGATCTCTGTGTTTCGAGCAGACTGGTCCCGCACCAGTTGCGGAAGCCTTGGTGTGGGCGGCCGAATCGTGCCGAATCGTGCCGAAGCGCCGGGTAGTCCGGGTAGTCCCGGTCCCGAAACGACATGCCCCGACTTGGACATCTGAACCCCTGAAGCACAGGCGAAGCCGAAGCCGCAGCGAAAGCCAGGCCCAGCTTGGAGCCTCGGCGGAGAAAGTCGCAGACGTCGAGGCCGGAGCCGGGCCCCAAGCGTGCGGGTGGGGCAGTGCCCGTCGCTTCTTTTTGTTGAGGGTTTTTTGGCAGGGTTTAGGGCGCAGGGTTTGTTCTGAGGTTGAGGTGTGGGGATTTCGGCAGAATGGGTCAGGCGGGTTCAGGTTCTTGCAGGGTTTGGGGTGCTGGGTTCGGCACTTTTGGGTGCCGAGTCGTTCTGGAGCGCTTGCTGCGGACCGGGTTTGGGGATTCGGGTGAGGGCGGATGCGGTGTCGGGATAGGAGATTAATGGGTTTGGGATGTTTGGTCCGGTAGCATCCGGCTCTGGAGGGCCAAAGGGGTGAAGCATCGAGGGTTGGGCTCTGAGCCTCAGAGGGTCTCAGATTCAGTGTCGCCGTTGAGCCACAAAGCCTCAGAGTGGCCGATATTAGCTCAGGATTGCAGAGTATTGTCGACAGGGCTTCTTTTATGGTGGCTTTTCTATGTTCCCTATTCAATGATTAACGCAAAGGCACAAGCCCAAGGCGAAGATCACCCGACTCTTTAAGCCAGCAATCAGGCAACAAGCTCCCCAGTCTCGGAGTAAGACTACGCTAAGCTGGCCCCACACCCTTCTGAGCGATTCGGCCCCCAGCCTGAACTCTCTTCGAGCCACGAGTCGGCGCAGAGGTTGCGAAGCTGGCTGCGACGATGCAGAGCTTCTCGGACGATAGCCTCACGCAGCTCAGTAGCCCAGAGGCAGGGAGACCGCGGGGTTGAGGTGTGGACTTCGTCTTGGACCTCCCCTAAACTTAGAACCCTAAACTCCACACCTTGAGTTAGACAGTGTGGTTAGGGTCGCTGCACGGGCTTCAGGATACACTCGCTTCAACGGAGCTTGCTACAATGTTAATGTAATGCAAGTTCTCACGAACAGGCAGTTAGGATATCATTGAGCTATGGTGCAAATCACGTCGCTGTACTCATATGTTTCCTCTGCAAGGGCTGCGTGCCCTGTCCCCCAACCTTATGAAGCAGCACAAAGGCTCTGGCGGTGGTTGGGAGCTCCAAAACACGGGCCCCTTAGGTCTGTCATGGAAGGGAAGGCCCTGAGTCTTGGCTTCACTCACTGGGCCAAGCCAGATCTCCGAGTCGCTGTCCCGAAGAGGGGTGCGGAGCGCCCTTACGAGTGAGCCTCTGCACGTTTGAAAGCAAAAGGTGCCGAAAGGCCAGAGCTCAAGAACTCCGTGCTGCCCTCACTCTTGGCTCCCGAAGTTCGAACTTGAAATGAGAACTAACCCGGTGTGAGTGCGCACGGCGAGGCACGAGCGGTTGTCGAGGAGATTAGCCAAGAGGAGAAGCGTGCCGAGGCCGACTGGCTTTGGGCTTTAGGGTTCAGATTTTCGAGGCCAGACCCCAACCTTCAAACCTTCACAAAACTTCCTGAACATCGGAAACCTGTCGCTAACGCCAACGAACTCTCCCAGGACTCTGAGGTCCAAAACCCCAAGCTCTAAATCCAAAAGCCTAAGCTTACGTCAAGAAACTCAGCTTCATTGTCAAGCTCCAAACCCCACAGCCTGCAGACATTGCTCACCGACTGCAAGAAGTTTCTGAACCAGCGTGTGACAGAAGCGAAAGCGCTTGCGGAGGCGGGTCTGCAGTGCTGAACTCCCTCTACGTTTTTTTTTGTTCTGTCTCTGTCTCTGTCTGCCTCTCTCTCTCTCTCTCTCTCTTCACTTGTAAACGTGAATGCATGTGCCGCAGACTTGCATGCACCGTACAGAGTGCATGTACCCGATGCAGTTCATGCAATGAGTGCATGCGACATGCGCTGCGCTGGTAACGTAATGTATCTCAGTGCAATCCGAAGCATGGCAAGGCAACTCAGTGTAGACAATGTCGTGGCATGTCAATTTATACTATACGCGCAGACCAAGTCATGTCATGTAATGTCACATAATGAAAGAAATAAAGACTGAATGAATGGTTGGACTGGACGGACTGGAATGAAAATGAATGAATAACTGTATGATTCCCTTGTCCTGTTTTGCGTTGTCTTGTGTTGCTTTCTCTTGTTGTATTGCATCGTATTCTATTGTGTTGTATTGTAATGTGATGTGGTTGCGATTGTACAGTATTCTGGTATGCGGTAGTGTATTGTACGGCACGGTGCTGTACTGTACTGTAGTGTATTGTGTTTCAATTCTCTGTAATCTGCTGTCTGGTGTACGTATGTATGAATGAATGAGTGAATGTATAATGTATGTCTGTACGTATGTATGTCTGTACGTATATGGACGTATGTACGTATGTATGTACATACGTACGTAGGTATGTATGTATGTATGTATGTATGTATGTATGTATGCACGTGCAGGTGTGCGTGTGTGTGCGTGCGTGTGTGCGACAGTATGTATGTATGAATGTATGTA